ATAAATTATACAAAAAATAATGTATAGAGAGATAGGTTTGTGAAGGACTTTCCTACTTATATGCAGCTACTTCACAAGAGGTGGTAAAAGTAAGGAAGTTGGGTTCAAATGGGGGGAAGCGCAACAAAGGGCATTTGTGATACTTTAAAATCCTATTCTTTTTGTTTTGCTCCTATTTTATGTTTTTACCTTGAACTTTGAAAACATTTGGTTATTTGATTTGAGTGTGACGCTTCTGGGTTGTATGGTTTATTTGGTGGCAGTGTTGTGCAGGAGAGAAGCCTATTGCTATTTCAGTGAGAACTCATGGAGGCACTTTTAAACTCAATTATTCAATCTTCTTTATGTATACTAGTGGCTTTATTATCTTATGTTATTGAGGCTATTGGTTGGTATTGGTTCAATCTATACTTTCTTACCCAATCAGATAATTTTTGTCATAGCACACTGCCATCTTTTTTAGGTCCTTTAAAGTCTACCTCAATTGGGACACGAGGTAAGGTGGTGGATACAGAGACATGGTAAGTTGGGTTGAAGTTGGCAATGGTGAAAGGTTTCCCTTTTTGTGATTAAATACAAGCACGGAAGAAAATATGTGTGGATGTGGATGCACGTTTCTTATTGGTAAGGTGTGTGCCTTTTAATGGAGGGCTATCTTAATGTCTAAGTTGTTAGGATTGTGAGCATATAAAATATCCTTGTTATGTTGATGATGATGACTTCGGTCTTAATTTTGGGAGTGCAATTGTGAACTATGGGGCATTTAATAAGTTCTTTAGGCATTGAGGGGGTTTTTATTTAAGGGAAAATAATATCTTTGTTATACCCAAATGTTTCTATGCGTGAATTGCTTGTATTAGAATTGCATTGGTGGAGGACTTATAGGTGCATCTTTGGTGTTCTTAAACATAATATACTTGCTGAACATTTCTTTGGCCACCAATAGTGCCGTAGGGATGTAGATGAAAACTGTGGTGGTGTTGTCATAGCATGTTAAGCAAGCCTAAGTCTTAAATCATGCTCATGGCCCTTTATATGCCTTTACCTGTACCTACTTTCCTGGACTGATGTTTCTATGGATTTTGGTAACTTGGATTGCCCAGAAACAAAGACGTGGTGGGATATATTTTTTATGTTGTTGTGGACAGGTTTAGTAAGATGGCACATTTCTATGTGCAATGCCATAAGAGTGAGATGAATGCTGTCCATATTGCTGAGTTGTTTTTTCAAGGGAGGGGTTGTGAGATTTGCATGTGGGTGCCACGCACTATTAGTTTCTCAGACCGTTGCCAAATTCCTTCTCATCTTTTGTGTCGAGTTTTTTATGGGTAGCTTGGTACATAAGTTGCTGTGTACTCTACTACTTGTCCATTCCCCAAACTGGATTTGGTATCGACCTGAGGTATTAACAGAACTTAGGTCTTTTACTTTAGAGCTGGTGTTGCGTAAGAATCTGAAAAACTTGGAAGGATTGTTTGCCCTTTCTATTGAATTTGCTTATAATAGGTTCTATACATTCTTTCTAGTGGTTATAGTCCCATTTGAGCTTGTTGTATGGTTAATCCTACTGTACTTGAATTTATTTCCTTTCCTTTAAGTGAAATTGGCTACTTAGATGGTGAAAGAAAGGCTGAATTGATCCGGGAGATACATTGCTAAAGCTAGGGCTCATATAGATGCACTGGAAGAACAAAAGCTATGCTGACCTCGTGCCAACAAAGGGAAGGAGGCGTGTGAGTATTTCAACTCTGGGATTGGGTTTGGGTGCACAGAGGAAGGAAAGATTCCAAACCAATAGGAATAAGGAAGCTGCTGCCGAGGTGAGTGATAATGGATCATTGGTGCTTGCCTAGTGGCTTTGTGATGTGTTCTTATCCTTTGGTTGCTTTGTTTTGGTCTATATAATATGTAAAGGGATATGGGCTCATAGTGTTTATTTAAGTTGGTTTTTGGGTTGGTTTTATGATGGCTGCCATCTTGCCTCAAGTATCAAAGTTGTTTGTTTTTGGGCCTGGAAAATTGATTTATTTGTGTTAGAGTTAAGCCTGTGTTTTTGGCCCATAAGGGCAGCCTAGTTTAGAATGCGTTCTTCCTTTAAGGGTTATGTTTGTTTAAGTGCATATAAATAGCCGCCTTAAGAGTGTAAAACCGATGATTTTGGCATAATTGAATCAAAGACAGATTGTTCATTCTCTGCCATTTTTCTCTCTTGATAGAGAGATTTTTGTGAGTATATTTGCTATCTTTCTCTTTAATTGCATCAAGATAGTTAAGGTAAACTTATTCAATCTCGTTGTGGTGTTTTATCTGTTCTTGCTCGAATTATTGGGTTTACCTTTTTCCTTATATTACTGTTTTTGGGTGGGCCATAAGCGTTTTAATCTCGATTATTGGTGTTTCCGTTTCATATTATAACGTGGGGTTGCAATTAGGAGGGAATCTTAATTCTCTATTTCTTTGATTTCCCGTATCTCCGGTTCCTTTATCATTTGGTACCAAGATGTTCTCAAAATCAAACGTTTTGGGTATAGTTTTTTTTTATCTTTAGTTAGGAATTTCGAGTTTTCTTGTTTGTTGGATTCATTGTTGTTATCTTCGTGTTTTCTTTTCTACTCTGAGATCTACCATTATTCTCTTTAGATCTTGTTGGATTTTCTTAGCTATCTTTTAGATCTTGTTGGATCTAGACCAATTTCTCTTTTAGATCTTGTTGGTATTAGTATTATTTTTCTCTTTAGATCTGTCTTGGATCTGGCACCTCTTTTAGATGTTCTTGCGATTGAGTTTCTCTGTTTAGTTTTTATCTTCTTATTGTTTTGCTTTGTTTTTAATTTATATATAATGATTTATATAAAAAAACAATTGATTAACGTTTAAAATTTAAGTATTAAAATACCTAAATCTGGAGATGTTGTTTGTCTTCTTGAAAATCTTGTTTGATAAAAAAAAAAAAAAAAAAAAAAAAAGTCATGTTGGACACCTAATTATTACCTACCATTTGAAATTGGGGAACAACCAAAAACATTGTTGGACAACATAATCATTTACCTATCCTAAATTGAATCCGAAGACACAAATTGGGTCACTTGCTACAGGAACTCCCCTACCTAAATTGGGTCACTCTTTGCTACACGGAGACTTGCTACAGTCGCTTGCCTATAGGTAAAAGTGCTACAGGGTACTCAGTAGCATCCGTGCTACAGTACCTTAAAAAAATTTTATTTTTTTTGGGTTTTTTCTTTGGTTTGCTTGCATTGTTTGGGTAGAAGTTAATTAGGTCCGCATATTTTGGTTTGGCTTGAGTGAACTAAATTCATGACATTATTATCCAGAATTCTCTTTTAAATTCTAGTTTGTTTTAAGTTTCTGTTTGATGCTTCTTTGCCTCTATTACAGTTATTAGGGTGTATTTGTTTGTTCACTACAACCAAATTAATATAAATCAAGTAGTCATCATTCTTGTCTTGTACTACATCCATTATCGTTTTGAGTCTTCTTTCTAGAGTTTTGTGCTTACTTGTTGTTTAGGGTTTGTTTTCCTTGTGTTCTAAACGTGCTTTGAGATTGATTGGGTTGGCTTAAAATTCTGAAGTACAATTGGAGGATTTGCAAAGAGTGGTAAGGAGTGTAAACACGTGAGGTAGTGTTTTTCTTCCACTTTACACCAATTTCACTTTGTGATTTCTTTGAGTACTAATCATGAAGTACAGGAAAGTCAAGGAGATATTAGTAAAGATGGAGGACAATTCAAGACCAATTGAAGCTCTTTATGGAGTCGATTTCAAGGGCAAATTTCGAATCCT